GTTTTTGATAGGGGGGGGGGGGGAATTACAACCAGTGAATACAAATGTTGGGCGTTATTTATTTATAGTGCCCATCTTGATTTTTTTGCTGTTTCTCTTCATCAGAAAACTGCTACAGCTCTTCAGCCAACACAGCCAAAAACTCCCATTGGAGGATCTAAACAAACTGCACCAATGGCCAAGTCTAAGACCCCTGTAAAGACCCCAAAGCCAGACACTGAGAGCTCAGAGGAGGACTCTGAAAGTGATGAGGAACTAGCTTCTAAGGTACTAGAAGGGTATTTTTTGTACGATGTGTTTCGGTGTTTTATGTACAATTATTTGTCAATTCATTATAATCCCTATCCTAATTCTCTTGATGCTTATCTTTTGACCAGAAACCTGCCACAGCTCTTCTATCAACACAACCAACAACTCCCAGCAGGGGGTCTAAACAGTTAGCAGTGATGGCCAAATCTAAGACACCTGTAAAGGCCCCACAACCACAAATTGAGAGCTCGGAGGAGGACTCTGAAAGTGATAAGGAGCCAGCTTCTAAGGTACTGAAAGGGTATTTGTGTTCTTTTATTTCAATGTTTTATATACAGTTATTTGTCATATTCTTTATACTTTATCAATTCATTATAATCCCTATCTGTAATATCCTGCTGCTTGTCTTTTTGACCAGGAACCTGCCACAGCTCTTCCGTTAACACAGCCAATAACTCCCAGTGGGGGATCTAAACAGACGGCAGCAATGGCCAAGTCTAAGACACCTGTAAAGGCCCCACAGTCACAAAGTGAGAGCTCAGAGGAGGACTCTGAAAGTGATGCGGAACCAGCTTCTAAGGTACCATAAGCGTATTTTTTAACGAAGGAAAACGTTTTTGGAATGTTTGTTCGAATATCTATCAACTAGTATTGTGCAGTTGACAGGCAAAAACAGCAATGTACCTGAAAATTTTTGAAGGAGCATGTTGGAAAATGTTCCCAGATCGAACTAGTTTCTAACCGTGAATGTGGTTTTCGTTCGAAAACTCCATTTACTCCAAAATAGAATGTTAAATATAAACTAAAATTAAGCGAAATATCAATCGGCAAGTTTGTGATGCCAGTATCCAACGCTCCGATGGTATTTTTCATACGAAAGTTCGTGCAAAAAACTGGTGTATACCCTACTTTACTTTCTCAATTCAGTATAATCCCGATCTTGACTATTATACTGCTTCTCTTTTGACCAGGCACCTACCGCAGCTCTTCAATCAACACCAACGCCAAAAACTTCCAGTGGGGGATCTAAAACCGCAACGTTGGCCAAGTCTAAGTCACCCGTAAAGGCCCCACAGCCAGACAGTGAGAGCTCTGAGGAGGACTCTGAAAGTGATGAGGAGCCAGCTTCTAAGGTACCGAAAGGGTATTTTTGTTCTTTATTTCAGTGTTTTTTATACAATTATTTGCCAAATTTTACATTCTCAATTCATTATAATCCTGATCTTAATTATTATACTGCTTCTCTCTTGACCAGAAACCTGCCGCAGCTTTTCCATTAGTACAGCTAAAGAATCCCAGTGGAGGATTCAAACAGACAGCAGCGATGGCCAAGTCTAAGACACCAGCAAAGGCCCCACAGCCACAAAGTGAGAGCTCTGAGGAGGACTCTGAAAGTGATGAGGAACCAGCTTCTAAGGTACTGAAAGGGTATTTGTATTCTTTATTTCAGTGTTTTTATATACAGTTATTTGCCATATTCTTTATCAATTCAGTATAATCCCTATCTGTATTATCCTGCTGCTTGTCTTTTTGACCAGGAACCTGCCACACCTCTTCCGGCAGCAATGAGCAAGTCTAAGACACCAGTAAAGGCCCCACAGCCACAAAGTGAGAACTCTGAGGAGGACTCTGAAAGTGATGGGGAACCAGCTTCTAAGGTACCGTAAAGGTATTTTTGTACGAAAGACGTTTTTAGAACGTTCGGTAAAATATCTTTTAATTAGTACGGTGCAATTGACAAGTAAAAACAAGAATGTTCCTGAAAATTGTTTAAGGAGCATGTTAGAAACTCGTTCGATCACAGTGAATGTGGTTTTCGTTTGAAAACTCCATTCATTCCAAAATAGAATGTTCTAAACTAAAATTAAGCGAAATTTCAAACGACAAGTTGGCAAAGTTTCTGATGCCAGTATCCAACGTTGCAATGGTATTTTTCATACGACCGTTCGTGCACAAAAACTACTGTTGTATACCCTACTTTACTTTCTCAATGCAATATAATCCCTGTCTTAATTATCCCGCCATTTGTCTCTTGACCAGAAACCTGCCACAGCTCTTCCATCAACACCAACGCCAAAAACTTCCAGTGGGGGATCTAAACAAACAGCAGTAATGGCCAAGTCCAAGTCACCCGTAAAGGCCCCACAGCCAGACAGTGAGAGCTCTGAGGAGGACTCTGAAAGTGATGAGGAACCAGCTTCTAAGGTACCGAAAGGGTATTTTTGTTCTTTATTTCAGTGTTTTTTATACAATTATTTGCCAAATTTTACATTCTCAATTCATTATAATCCTGATCTTAATTATTATACTGCTTCTCTCTTGACCAGAAACCTGCCGCAGCTTTTCCATTAGTACAGCTAAAGAATCCCAGTGGAGGATTCAAACAGACAGCAGCGATGGCCAAGTCTAAGACACCAGCAAAGGCCCCACAGCCACAAAGTGAGAGCTCTGAGGAGGACTCTGAAAGTGATGAGGAACCAGCTTCTAAGGTAACCTAAGGGTATTTTTGTACGAAAGAAAACGTTCTTGGAACGTTTGTTCGAATATCCATCAATTAGTATGGTACAGTCGAGAGACAAAAACAGCAATGTTCCTGAAAATTTTTGAAGGAGCATGTTGGAAAATTTTCCAAGATCGAACGAGTTTCTAACAGTGAATGTGGTTTTCATTCGAAAACTCCATTTACTTCAAAATAGAATGTTAAATATAAACTAAAATTAAACGAAATTTAAATCGGCAAGTTTGTGATGGCAGTATCCGATGTTTCAATGGTATTTTTCATATGAACGTTCATGCAAAAAAAACGGTGTATACCCTACTTTACTTTCTCAATTCAATATAATCCCGATCTTAAATATTATACTGCTTCTCTCTTGACCAGAAACCTACCCCAGCTCTTCCGTCAACACCAACGTCAAAAACTTCCAGTGGGAGATCTAAACAAACAGCAGCGATGGCCAAGTCTAAGTCACCAGTAAAGGCCCCACAGCCAGACAGTGAGAGCTCGGAGAAAGACTCTGAAAGTGATGAGGAGCCAGCTTCTAAGGTACTGAAAGCGTATTTGTGTTCTTTATTTCAGTGTTTTTATATACAGTTATTTGCCATATTCTTTATCAATTCATTATAATCCCTATCTGTATTATCCTGCTGCTTGTCTTTTTGACCAGGAACCTGCCATAGCTCTTCCGTTAACACAGCCAATAACTCCCAGTGGGGGATCTAAACAGACGGCAGCAATGGCCAAGTCTAAGACACCAGTAAAGGCCCCAAAGCCACAAAGTGAGAACTCTGAGGAGGACTCTGAAAGTGATGGGGAACCAGCTTCTAAGGTACCGTAAAGGTATTTTTGTACGAAAGACGTTTTTAGAACGTTCGGTAAAATATCTTTTAATTAGTACGGTGCAATTGACAAGTAAAAACAAGAATGTTCCTGAAAATTGTTTAAGGAGCATGTTAGAAACTCGTTCGATCACAGTGAATGTGGTTTTCGTTTGAAAACTCCATTCATTCCAAAATAGAATGTTCAAAACTAAAATTAAGGGAAATTTCAAACGACAGTCGGCAAAGTTTCTGATGCCAGTATCCAACTTTGCAATGGTATTTTTCATACGAACGTTCGTGCACAAAAACTACTGTTGTATACCCTACTTTACTTTCTCAATGCAATATCCCTGTGTTAATTATCCCGCCATTTGTCTCTTGACCAGAAACCTGCCACAGCTCTTCCATCAACACCAACGCCAAAAACTTCCAGTGGGGGATCTAAACAAACAGCAGTGATGGCCAAGTCCAAGTCACCCGTAAAGGCCCCACAGCCAGACAGTGAGAGCTCTGAGGAGGACTCTGAAAGTGATGAGGAACCAGCTTCTAAGGTACCGAAAGGGTATTTTTGTTCTTTATTTCAGTGTTTTATATACAATTATTTCCCAAATTTTACATTCTCAATTCATTATAATCCTGATCTTAATTATTATACTGCTTCTCTCTTGACCAGAAACCTGCCGCAGCTTTTCCATTAGTACAGCTAAAGAATCCCAGTGGAGGATTCAAACAGACAGCAGCGATGGCCAAGTCTAAGACACCAGCAAAGGCCCCACAGCCACAAAGTGAGAGCTCTGAGGAGGACTCTGAAAGTGATGAGGAACCAGCTTCTAAGGTACTGAACGGGTATTTTTGCTCTTTATTTCAGTGTTTTATATACAATTTATTTGCCAAATTTTACATTCTCAATTCATTATAATCCTGATCTTAATTATTATACTGCTTCTCTCTTGACCAGAAACCTGCCGCAGCTTTTCCATTAGCACAGCCAAAAACTCCCAGTGGGGGATCTAAACAGACGGCAGCAATGGCCAAGTCTAACACACCAGTAAAGACCCCACAGCCAGACACTGAGAGCTCAGAGGAGGACTCTGAAAGTGATGAGGAACCAGCTTCTAAGGTACTGTAAGGCTATTTTTTGTACGAAAAAACATGTTTAGCACGTTCGTTCGAATATCTATCAATTAGTATGGTGCAGTCGACAGACAAAAACAACAATGTTCCTGAACATTTTTGAAGGAGCATGTTAGAAACTCGTTGGATTTATGAAAATTTTCCAACAGTGAATGTGGTTTTCGTTTGAAAACTCCATTCATTCCAAGATAGAATGTTAAATAAAAAACTAAACTTAAACAAAATTTCAAACGACAATTGACAAGTTTGTGATGCCAGCATCCAAAGTTCCGATGGTATTTTTCATACGAATGTTCGTGCAAAAAACTGGTGTATACCCTACTTTCTCCATTCAATATAATCCCTGTCCTAATTATCCCACCATTTGTCTCTTGACCAGAAACCTGCCACAGCTCTTCCGTCAACACAAACGCCAAAAACTTCCAGTGGGGGATCTAAACAGACGGCAGCGATGTCAAAGTCACCAGTAAAGGCCCCACAGCCAGACAGTGAGAGCTCGGAGAAAGACTCTGAAAGTGATGAGGAGCCAGCTTCTAAGGTACTGTAAGGCTATTTTTGTACGAAAAAACATGTTTAGCACGTTCGTTCGAATATCTATCAATTAGTATGGTGCAGTCGACAGACAAAAACAACAATGTTCCTGAACATTTTTGAAGGAGCATGTTAGAAACTCGTTGGATTTATGAAAATTTTCCAACAGTGAATGTGGTTTTCGTTTGAAAACTCCATTCATTCCAAGATAGAATGTTAAATAAAAAACTAAACTTAAACAAAATTTCAAACGACAATTGACAAGTTTGTGATGCCAGCATCCAAAGTTCCGATGGTATTTTTGTTAAGTTAAGTTTTTGGCTGCTTGTCTCTTGACCAGAAACCTGCCACAGCTCTTCCGTCAGCACAGCAAAAAAATTCCAGTGGAGGATCTAAACTGACAGCAGCGATGGCCAAGTCTAAGAAACCAGTAAAAATTGAAACGCCGGACAGTGAGAGCTCAGAGGAGGACTTTGAAAGTGATGAGGAGCCATCTTCTATGGTACTGAAAGGGTGTTTTTGGTCCGTCTATAATTGTTTCCTTTACAATTATTTGCTGTATCCGTACTTTAGCAATTTGTATGTATTGAAATATTAACCCCTTCGTGACACGAGGCGTACACTGTACGTCCAGCCACAAAGTGCCTAAATGGCTGGCCATGTACACTGTACGTGACCTGTTATTTGCGGCTCTGTAATGCTGATAACCGCTGTTTCTCAGCGGTTACCATTCATTAATGAATGCATCAGTATTGAGGCATTATTTAATGAAATAGTTAAGCTTTTGTAAAAGTTTTTTTTCTTTCATTATTGAAAGAATGAAGCCGCTGCATACAAATACCGGATCGCTAAATAGCGATCCAGTATTTGACAGCTAAAGGTAGCAGAGTGAGTCACCTCCTCTGCTATTCGTTTTGACAGCTCCATAGACTGGCAGATGTTGATGAAGCTGTGTGATACATTTCAGGCACAATGTTACAATGTATCTCTGTGCCTGAAATGTATCACTTCTGATTGGGCACGATCAGAAACCTTTAGGCCTTGTTCACACCAAGCGCGGAGCAGGTGCAGACCAGATCAAAACTGCGTCCAATGTATTCCAATGGTATTTTTTGCTCCAGTTCACAATGCAGCGTGCAGTTCCAGAGCAGGTGAAAAAACTGCAGCAGGCCCTATTTTACCTGCTCGTGATCTGCAAACGCATAAAAAACGCATGCAAATGCCTGGAACGCACTGAAAGTCCATGTTAAACTAAAAAAAAAAGTTTACCAAAAAGCGGCCCGGAACGCAGCAAAAACGTGGCACAACCCACTGCACTGCGTGTGCAGACACCTGAACGGATCTGCTCTGCATTTGGTGTGAACAAGGCCTTAGGGCTTGTACACACCAAATGCAGACCAGATCTGCATGAGTTTCTGCACACGCAGTGTGTTATATCACGTTTTTGAAGCGTTCCGAGACGTGTGTTTTTTTTGTTTTTTTTTTAGTTTAAAGTGGCCTTTCAGTGCGTTCCAGGGTATTTGCATGCATTTTTGATGCATTCAAGAGCAGGCAAAATAGGGCTTGCTGCAGTTTTTTTTACATGCTCTGGAACTGAACGCTGCGGTGTGAACTAGAGCCCAAAATACCATTGGAATACATTGGATGCAGTTTTGATCCGGTCTGTAACTGCTCTGCTCCCGGAACCCGCTTGGTGTGAACAAGCCCTTAGTGAGATCTGATTCTGACATGCTGTCAGGATCAGTCTCTAATGTTGTAAATAATAATCAAAACTTGTTAAAAGGATTTTCTATGTTTTTTTTTCCTTTTAACTGCCATGGAAGAATCACACAGCAAAAATTTAAAAAGTGTGTCAGTCATTTACGAACAGAAACTGAAAACAAGCTGTCATGAAGGGGTTAAACTAGAGGAGGCTTTATAAACCAACAGTATTACTCTACCATATTAATACAAGGAAAGTTGTCCAATAATTTTTTTTAGACCCAAGCAGCAGTCCCGGTTAAGATGTCAACTCTTGCTCCATTCATCCATCCTGACTGTTTAAACCATCTGCTGCTATTCGTGTTTCAGATTCAAATGCTGATTCAGAGAGCAGTGAATCTTCTGATAAAGAGCAGATGCAGTTATTTAAAAACCACTAGTATTGACCTCACGTGTATCTTCTACACACCAAAAAAGGCTGAGAGTGGGATTACCGGTTCAGTGAAGCTGTCGGGTTGTCTTGCTTTGCTCATTGTTCGTAGTCTTGCATATTCCAGCCCGTGGTTGCCATTGGAGGAGCTGTTGAGGAGAATAGACCTAAATGGTGATGCATAGTCATACTAAGTTGTCCTTTTTTTGGCTACATGGTGTGGGAAGTGTATTGTCTTGAAACTTCATTGGTGGCACACGGTTTCTGCTTAAAGTGAACCTGTACTTCACACATGAAGGACAATGCAATTGGTATACCATGATATTGATTTTAGAACATTATGGGCTCTTTTTTACTAACGAAAACCTTTTTTCCGTTTCTGGAATGTGCCCATTTCTTTCTCGTCCATTGAGGTATACAGGATACCTGTATGTAATCTTCGGGTTATACAACCGCATACAGAAGAATTGGACTTTGGCTAAAGAAAAAAAAAACGTAGACTAGTCCAGCATAACACCTTTTTACTACCAGCATGGTAAAAACGAAAAAACAACAACTTTGTCCTAGGAGGATGGATGTCTTCAGTTGCCTCCAGTTCACACACTACTAATGGCTCCAGGGGCTGCTTGCAGCCAGCCTACTGATGGTGTCAACATGCTTCTGTGCCCTCCTCTGCAGATTTTGTATTTGATCTGCCTGTAGGTTCTGAGCCATTGGCTTGCAGAGACTGATTCTGAGTCACTCCAGGTTTGCAAGATGAGCTTATCCTGGTGGATTTGCAGTTTTCTGCAGTCACTCCTAAATTATTGATGCAATGCACACCCCTCTGAAACTAAAAATATCAACCTCTTGCTTCTGCCAATGTTTTCCCATGAACTTCTTCCAGGACAGCATTGCAAGAGATGGAGCCTCCTCCCCAAACAACAGAAAATATGTCACCCTTTCAGATTTAGAAGGCCCGCCTCTTCTCCGGTTCCTTAGTCTTTGTGTTTCCTCGGTCAACTGTATTTTGCAGTCTTGGGTCTTTTATAGCCCTAATGCCACAAAGATCTTTCCGTTGCACCCGCTGTTCCTGTTTTTGCTCTATGGAGATTGGAAACAGCCTCACAAGCTGTTTGCTCCCTCCCTAAAGTTTTATTAGCCTTTTGTCTGATTGTAGAGGATTTTGTACAAAAGTGGGCTGTTCCCACTTTGGATCTGGTGGTGTCCCACCCTGATAAAGCGCAACCTTTCCGGTACAGGATGCACGTGTCTTTAAGAGCCCAACTGATAAGTGGTTGGAAGCCATATCTAGAATGCTGTTCACACTGGCGGGTCCCTCTCTTTACCCCTTTACTTTGCCAGGTCAAGGCTGACTGTTCTGAATCCCTTAAGGGGATCTTACAACTCCTGCAGTTAATCCCTCGCTTATAGAACACACCGCAAATAGCTGTGGCTTTAAACTTTGGTTGTAACTGTGTGCTGGAGGCTTCCTGGTATATCTCCCGCATGGGTCTTGCGTAGGACACTTTGCCTAAAGTGCTGGATTGTTAGACCTACATCTAAGAAGCTTCTGGTCTGCATGGCCAACGATGTCTTGATACCTTTATCAAGAATGCTACCGTTGTGAAGAGCACCCCTTTTCTGTGCCCATATAGTTGAGACCCCTCAAGCTTGGCTCCTAGTTCACCTGCAAGGTCTGGTCTGGGCTCAAAGTCTGTCAAATGCTCAGGCCTTTTTCTAAATTTAAGGTGAGCCCCAATTTCCAGATTGGTGGGCATGCTTGTTTACCTTTGCTGACACTTGGATAGCTTGCACCTCAGATGATTGGATGCAGAGGATAGTATCCCTGGCCTAAAAACTGGAGTTTTGCTCCCTGCCCCCTCCTCTGCTCCTCTCCACACGGATTAGCAGATATCCATCGAGCCCTCTCAGGCCTTCCAAACCAAAGAGGTATTTCATTAGTTTCTGTGGCAGAATGGATTCTACTTCAACCTATTCACTGTTCCCAAAGGTGGCATGTGGCCTATCTTGGATTTCAGATTCTTTCTCCAAATAAAGAAATTCTGCACGTGATCCACCAGATCTGTTTTTGCCTCACCTTATCAGGGTGTTTTTGGCTTCTGTGGCCAACCAGGATGCTTACTTGCATATCACCATCTTCCCCACCACATTTTTTGCTACGTTTTTCTGTGGGGCCCCTGCTATACCAGTTTGTGGTTCTGCCTTTTGGCCTATCATCTCTGTGTTAAACAAGGGGCAGGCCCCAGTACTAGCCCTGCTGTGTTGTCACCTCATCCTCATTGTGAGACAATTTTATGTTTAGGGAAACAGTCTGCGTGGCCTTTGATAGACATTGTTGCTCTGACTGTCCAGACTTTTGAGTATCTGGATCTAGTCTTGGATACAGCCCAGGCCAGGGACTTTTTTTCCAGAGGAGATACTTCAGACTCTGCAATTGCAATTTTGAGCTCTCTATTACAGGAGTTGTGCACTTTTATATTGGCGTCTTTGACCTAATAATAGTAACCTCTTTTGAGGCTGACCCATTTGCCCTGCTTCACTCCAGATCTCTACAGTGCAACATCATGTTGTGGGGGTAAGTCAGTCAGGTCCCTGGATAAACCAATTCTTTCACAATGAGGGCCAGTTTGTCCCTGGCTTGGTGGTTCAGAATTCTGGCTTTGTTAATGGGGAAATCCAACCTTCCTGTCTCTTGGAGATCCCTCACAAATGTTGCCTATTAAGCTAGAGAGAAGTTCTGGGAACCTTATCAGTGCAGAGGACTTGGTCCTTGGAGTCTTGCCTCCCAATCAACTTCCTAGACCTTCGGTCTATTCTGCAGCTTTGGACCATCCTGCTGGAGGGTAACCTAATCTGGATTCAGTCAGACAAAGCCACAGTAGTCGCATATATCAACCATCAGGGAGGAACCAGAATTCTCATGGCAAGAGCTTGTTTCCA